GTCTAATAGACATGAACAAGTTCTTTGAAAAACATCTATGACCTTTGAAACATGTCTAGTCTTCATGCTCTATGTTGACTATGGTTTCACTAATAATAAACATACATTTGCATAAAACATCTTTATTTGTCCATGCATATGTTGATTAGAGTATTAAAAACTTGAAAAGTATTAATTTAAGGTACATTTAGAACAGATAAAAATGCAATTAATCGCGATTAAATATTTTAATCGATTGACAGTCCTATAAAATACTGATTACGGATGGGATGTTTTGCAGTCTGTGCCTCTTTACCTTTCATTAAACGTCAGAAATGATGAGAACATGTCAGTGTTTATGAGTGTTTATGTTTTTTCTCTGTAGGATCACCACGACTGTGGCCTGTAACATGGATCTGACCAAATATCCCATGGACAAACAGACGTGCACCTTACAACTGGAGAGCTGTAAGAAAACACACGCATTTCCAGCTTTTGCTTCCCCAAAGTGTTGCTCTGGCAACAAGCTGACGTTTCTGTGCTCTTGTTTGTGACATCTGTACTCACACAATGTTCACGCTGTTTCATATTTTATAAGAACATGTTGTGGTTGCACACAAATATGCCACATTACGCCTGTTTTCTTTCCATGCACTTGCATGCAATGCAGATCTCTGATGTGTAGATGCATAAGATCATTTATATAAATAAATATTACAGACAGACAGAAATCAGTCCAAGATGTCTCCTGTTGTATTGCACTCCAAAAATGAAAAGATGAAATAAGGTTTCTTGATGCATTTTACATGCACAAACAGCAGGAACTTTAAGAGGTTTTTTTTAGTTTTGCATTGTGACATTATTTTCATGACAGTTTTGCCTCAAATTGTAATTTTTGCACATGTTTTCTAAAGAAAATTATTTGCACAATATAAACATAATGTGCAGTTATTTTAAATTATGGCCTTTCATCTAGACATTATATTCGCGTGCCATGCAGTGAAACGCATAAACACAGAACCCGCTTCCTGCTGTTGTTTCTGCAGTGCAGCATATTGCATGTTTTAATTGCGAAGTCTTTCTCAATCGCGGTTTACTGTACAGATATATGTTGTGAGACTGTCATAAACACTCCTCTCTCTCTTCCTCTGTCATGTGCCGAGATTATTGATCTGATTACTGTCACACAGCGCCACCAAGAGGACACATACTGATATTACACACCAATGCATGTGGCCATTTATCTGATATTAGTCACCTACACATCAAAACATGAAATCTGATGGTTAATACCTGAATTTGTAATGAATTAGTCTGCATTCACAATTTCTTCACAGTGTGTCCCATTTCATATCACTCCAGAACTGACTTGCGTGCGTCAAATAAATGAACACCTTGGCAACCACATAGTAACCACCCAGAACACCTTAGCAACCACATAGTAACCACCCAGTACACCTTAGCAACCACATAGTAACCACCCAGAACATCTTAGTAACCACAATAGTAACCACTTAAAACACCCTAGCAACCAACATCTTAGCAACCACATAACCACCCAGAACATCCTAGCAACCACCCAGAACGCCTTAGCAACCACACAGTAACCACCTAGAACACCTTAGCAACCACAACAGTAACCACTTAAACATCCTAGCAACCACATAATAACCACCCAGAACATCCTAGCAACCACCCAGAACGCCTTAGCAACCACACAGTAACCACCTAGAACACCTTAGCAACCACAACAGTAACCACTTAAACATCCTAGCAACCACATAATAACCACCCAGAACATCCTAGCAACCACCCAGAACGCCTTAGCAACCACACAGTAACCACCTAGAACACCTTAGCAACCACAACAGTAACCACTTAAACATCCTAGCAACCACATAATAACCACCCAGAACATCCTAGCAACCACCCAGAACACCTTAGCAACCACACAGTAACCACCCAGAACACCTTAGAAACCACAATAGTAACCACTTAAATCATCCTAGCAACCACCCAGAACACCTTAGCAACCACACAGTAACCTCCCAGAACACCTTAGAAACCACAATAGTAACCACTTAAAACATCCTAGCAACCAACATCTTAGCAACCACATAGTAACCACTCAGAACATCCTAGCAACTAACATCTTGGCAACCACATAGTAATCATCCAGAACTTCCTAGCAACAACCCAGAACACCTTACAACCACATAGTAACCACCCAGAACATCCTAGCAACAACCCAGAACACCTTAGCAACCACATAGTAACCACCCAGAACATCCTAGCAACCAACACCTTGGCAACCATATAGTAACCATCCAGAACATCTTAGCAACCAACACCTTGGCAACCACATAGTAACCACCCAGAACATCCTAGCAACCAACACCTTGGCAACCACATAGTTACCACCTAGAACATCCTAGCAACCAACACCTTGGCGACCATATAGTAACTGTCCATAACATCCTAGCAACCAACACCTTGACAACCATATTGTAACCACCCTGAACATCCAAGCAGCCAACACCTTGGTAACCATATAGTAACTATCCATAACATCCTAGCAGCCAACACCTTGGTAACCATATAGTAACTATCCATAACATCCTAGCAGCCAACACCTTGGCAACCATATAGTAACCAACTAGATCATACTATCAACCAACACCTTGGCAACCATATAGTAACCATCCAGAACATCTTAGCAACCAACACCTTGGCAACCACATAGTAACCACCCAGAACATCCTAGCAACCAACACCTTGGCAACCACATAGTTACCACCTAGAACATCCTAGCAACCAACACCTTGGCGACCATATAGTAACTGTCCATAACATCTTAGCAGTCAACACCTTGGCAACCATATAGTAACCAACTAGATCATCCTATCAACTATTGCATGTTTTAATTGCGAAGTCTTTCTCAATCGCGGTTTACTGTACAGATATATGTTGTGAGACTGTCATAAACACTCCTCTCTCTCTTCCTCCGTCATGTGCCGAGATTACTGATCTGATTACTGTCACTCAGCGCCACCAAGAGGACACATACTGATATTACACACCAATACATGTGGCCATTTATCTTATATTAGTCACCTACACATCAAAATATGAAATCTGATGGTTAATACCTGAATTTGTAATGAATTAGTCTGCATTCACAATTTCTTCACAGTGTGTCCCATTTCATATCACTCCAGAACTGACTTGCGTGCGTCAAATAAATGCAGTTCTTTTGAACTTTCTATTCATCTGTGGATCCTGAAAAATAAAATGCATCACAGTTTCCACAAAAATATTGTGCAGCACGACTGTTTTCAACATTGATAATAATCAGAAATGTTTCTTGAGCAGCAAATCAGCATATTAGAATGATTTCTGAAGATCATGTGACACTGAAGACTGGAGTAATGATGCTGAAAATACAGCTGCGCATCACAGAAATACATTACAGTTTAACAGATACTCACATAGAAAACAGCTGTTTTGAGTTGTAGTAATATTTCACAATTTTTACTGTATTTTGGTCAAATAAATGCAGCCTTGATCAACATAAAGAGACCTCTTTCAAAAATCCAAATCGAACAATAGTGTAGATGTTTAATTTAATATGACCATCTAAAAACACACACTCATACCAGCCACTGTTCGAGCCGGGACAGACTCCTTGTTGATCTAGAATGCGACTTGTGACAGCACAACCACCATAATTAATGGGATGTACGTTTGGATGAGATGGTAGCCAAGCTTCCTCTGAAGATAGAAATGGACAACCTGGACAGAATACAGACCTAGACGGTGCCAAGACATTAGAGGAGGACACTGATGAAGACAAATCGTGCAA